TTTGAAACAAGCACGACTCTTAGATTTAAGTGAGTCATCAATGGAATTCCAAACTTTAGCACCGAAAAAACGAATGTTAAATTTGCCGTAATTAGTCCTCGCTTTTGGCAGATAGTATGAAATCTTACTCACCAGTCTGGTTTGATATTGATGCACTTTGTTGATACTCTTGAAGAAATTATCAAAAATTCCGCAACTCTAATTGATAACATTTTCTTTAATTCACTAGAGCACCATGCTATAAGTGGTAATATACTGTGTGGCATAACAGATCATTTGCCTAACTTTTTGATTATCACAAAGTTATCTAATAATAATTGCCCACTGTACGTAAAAGGTGCAGCAGTAACTGCAGTGGGCTTAGTAGCTGTTAGCCCTTTGCGCACATTGTAGGCCTGTGGTTTGGTACATTTTTCATGTACAGCAAGCAGCACCATACTACGCACCCACTACATGTAGAGGGTCCAATAGGTGAAAATTAAAGGGCCAATAGGCAGCTGTTAGTCCTAATTGCAGGTATTGTGGGCCAAAAGTATGAAAAAATTCCTCTATATATTGTAGGCATGCAATGTGTGTATAGGGTTGTGTAACTGAAGAGGTTTGGTGCACTGCTGGCCTGTTGTACTACCTGGTAATAGTAATCTTGAGTGGCATGACCATTGTATATATTACCTGTTCTTCAGCTTTCATTTCCTCCTTTGCATTGCTGTCTATGTCTTCGATTGCCTGTATTAAACAAAAGAAATGATTTCTTGCAAGTGAATACATATGTGGTAAATAATGTAGGCAGTTACAAAAGTAAATCCTGAAGAAATAATTAAGGCTTGAACCTTAAAGTCTAAATTTTTTTCAGGTTGTGTTTTTGCAACTGCCTAGGATATGCACATAATTGTGACCTCCAATGTCTCTGAAAACTCATTTCACTTTTCACTTTTACACATATTCAGTGTTCTCCAAGCTACAGGTGAATACAAATACCAGGAGAAAAATGTAATACCACATTTTATAAATAAACTTTAGATGATGTAGCTGGTTGATAATAATTTGCAAGAACTGACCTAAGCTAAGTAACATATATGCTGAACATCATATGTCTCACCTGCTCATACTTTGCAAGAGAATCTCTTCGAAATCCTCCACTTATTCTGGATTTACTCACTAAGAAGCTCAGAATCATCTTTAACAACTGCAGGAATGTCTACAGAATGTTCACAACAAATCAGTGATTAAATCAAATCCTTCACAAAATTAATCTTCTTTTCATCATAACCAGGGTAAAGTTTCTACAATTGTGACATTACTGCACTTTTCAATAACAGGTGAACTTGCTCAATTAATGGTTTAATGGTTTTGTGTTTCAATGCCATCAATCATCTTAGAAGATGTCTCAAGGAAAAAGGAAGTTTACTTCAAAGGGTTAAAAAGGTCATTTCTGTGGGTTATGGTCAGTAGATTTCCATTAAATTTGTTTGTTTCTTTTTTTCGAAGGTTTATTGGTTGTCATCATAATGATTGACCGCAGCCAAAAATGTAATCATTAGTTAGGTTGTGAACTTCAGAGTTCATGTGTTATTGAAAGATGCTGCAGCAATTTGACTGTGCAATTCTGTACATTACTGTTGCTGCAAAAATCATGACAGTAATAGATTTTCCAGCAATCATGTCATTGCTTGGATTAGCCTTGCAGTAGAGACAGAGTACTAAAAACGTTTTTCAACATTCTGTGACAATGAACACACACCTCATTCTTCTGGAGTCTGAGACTGGTTTCCATGTTCTCAATGGCTTTGAAATCCTGCTTTTGAAGCTCAACTTCCATCTCTTCTCTAGGAAAAAAAAAAACATCTAACATAAATTATCAAGGGTTTCAAGTTCCATTCAAAAAGCTTTGCCTGCCTGTGAAAACCAGTTGCCTTCAGGCTGAAAACATTACCGAAACTCCTGATTATAATACAAATTAACTATAGCACAGTATTGTGAAACACTGTACATGTATCCCTGCAAAATACCCCAAAAGCTCATTGGATACAGACAACATGTCCACAGTGATAAAATTTCCTAAAGTTCCTTTAGATCCAAATATTGAAATGACATTTACATGATCCAGAGGACAACATTTACCAAAAAGAGGATGGCTTATTACATTGAATAATTATGCTGTGGCTATCAATATGCTATTATGTCAACAATCTGCAAGCCTGTCAGATTTTGTCAGTCAGACTCATGCTCTCCTTTTTTCACTTTAAATTAATTCTGAGAAATGTTGCTGGCACGTTGATTATTGGTCACTTGGACTTTACAATCTGGTACTATACAGTCATGTAGATGTACCCTTAAGGATCCTGAAGGACCCTTACCCAGAAGGTTTGCTCAGAGCATCAACAACTGATTGCTGATTATTGTCATTTTCTCCTGTCCATGCTGACTGACTATGAAGACTGCCAGTGCTAAGATGAGTTGGTTCCATTTCTATGGCAACCTCAGCTGTGTTCTTGGCTGGCAAAGGCATTGGCGCAATCCTGTTACTTCCCATTTTCTGGTTAAGAATAAAAATAATGAAAGAAATACAATACAGTGGTGATCTTTAGCTAATGATTGTTTTTAAAAGTTAGAAAACAAGGGTGAGTACATGTAGTCTCATTTAAATAGTACAATTAGTACTCTTAACTTTAAGAGGGATATACCCTGGGGTTAACACTATCCTTTTGTATACCATTCTGACAGAAAAGGCCTTTAATTTGTATACCTTTTACTGAAAAAAGTACCTCTTACACATAGTACTTACACCCCTTTTCTAAACTCTTGGATGCTGTTAATGAAGAATAAAAGGAGCAGGAAGTTTTTCTTATCAAGCAGTTTAGTTAAAAAGCTTTGCCTGCTGGGAAAACCAGTTGTTCTTCTGCTGAAAACATTAATGAAACCCCTGCCTTTGGAAGATACAATCAACCTGTTTTACTGTAGATCCTAAAGTACAAATAGTGGGGCATTTCTTCTTGTTTTGCATTATTTTGTACTCTGTGGATTATAGTTAGATAAGGAACCACCAGTTCTAAGGAGCTGTTCTTAATTATGTACAAAATGAAGAGGAGTTTACCTTTCCAGATGTATCTTGCACATGTGCCTCATTTTCTACTTCAATTAGAATTGCGGCAGATTCAGACTTGCTTCTCCTTAGAGAGTATTGCTCCTAAAGAAAATGTGACAAAAAAATAATTTATATACACAACAGTTCATGAAATCATTCACACAGCCGTAAATGTTATCACTGATTCCCCACATTAACAACTGCCTCGCAAAGTGGAGGTTGGGTGCCTGAGGAATCCAGGAGCTTTCACTATCATCTAGCTCGATGGAGACCATTCCGATGGCTGGCAAATCCTGACAACCCAGTCATGAGCCCCCATGTGGAAGGGAGAAAAGCAGGCAATCATCACAGTGATAAAACAGTGGAAAGATAGGGAAGGACAAGGGACTCTGGGGAAACAACCTCTGAGCAGAGTCCCTGGGCTTGAGATTCAGATGCTTATGGAAGACACTGACTCAATGCAAAACTACCACAATGCCTTAAGTGGCCCAGGAACACATGGAATCCTGCCGCATGTGCAGATCTAAACACTGATAACCATGAAGGCAAGACGTGCGTTCCTTGTTGTTTAAACCCTGTTAAATTGCATTTAACTGCATAAAAAAGTCTAGCACAAGCTGTATACAAATCAAAATCATTCCCTACAAGAATTGAACCAATGGTCAGTTGATCAAGACAAAAGGCCTTCAGGAGAAACTAGAATTATTTTAGGTTGGAAAATATATTTGACTCAAAGAACCAAAGGCACTCTAATTACTGCCTAACCAGTCAAGAGCCTATCAACACCACCATTACGAGAAGACACCAGAAGTGGGTTTGTGATCGCGTCATACGCCAAGGCGGGTGAGAAGAACATAGCATGTCACACATTTGTGGATTGGAACCCACATTAGGCACACGGAACTGTGGCAGACCGAGAATCATGTGGCACAAAAGCATCCAAAAAGAGCTAATGGAGATCACCATGAGTTGGTGCACTAGGCCTAAAGAGCGGCTCAAGACTGACAGAGGTAGAAGGCAACTGTGGAAGCCCTATGCTCCCCATGGGAAAAAGAGGATGAGATATAAACCAGACAGGCTTGAAGGTACTGCTCCCAAACACAATACATACAAGCTGAGGGGCATGGTGAATATAACACACAATTATTTAGATGTCAATTATTACAATAAACCGCAGACCAGGTGAAATACGCAATTAATTTTAAGCTTACATGTAGTTACAAATTCGTCTGATCTTGCATGAAAGCAATGCAAATAGTGAAATTCAAATACATAGAAAATGACACAGAATAAAACAAATTATTTCAAGTACAATAACATTTAAGTATTGTGGGCAATAACATAACTAAAATCGTATAGCCTACCTCTAATTCTCGTAGAATACAACGAGCTAACAGAAGGCCAAGGATGAATCCAACCAGAAGGCACAACAAAAACACCAAAAATACATATCCGCCAAGAGTGTCCAGCTTCGCCACTCTGTCTACCACGGTAACAGAAAGGCACTCTCCGTCCATCTCTGTTTAGCTTTTGATCACAAATATCTTAGAAACCAAATTAACATTGATATCACGTAAAACATCGACGTATTTTTCGTGGGCTCAGTTTTCCGAATTTGGAGTTCACGGAACTTCTTTAGTTTACAAGGGAACCATGACAACATCTGCAAATCGAAGATTATGAACGAAAGTTATCACGAAACCACTCGTGAGAGCAAATTGTTTTCACTGATATTGCTAATCTAACTTTCTTGAACGAGAGTACAGCTTAGAAACAGATATTTTGGCCGAAAATTTTCTCGCACCAACTTCTCTCGTTCCCAGATCTCCATGTTGTAGCTATTGACGAGGTCTGAAGGCGTGGTTGCACAAACAGGTAAAAATATTGACAAAGAAATCTACATTGTACCTTTATTTATTATACCCAAAAATTTCTGTAATTGCGTTTATCACTGATAACACCAAGCTGAACTTGCTGCAAATTTGGGTGTAAGTTAAAATGCCTGCAACGAAGATCAGAACTCAAGTAAAATATCAGAAGATTTCTAACGATGATGGCTACATTGACGCACAGGTTTGTAGCTCAGATTAAATTGATGCAAAGAAATCGAAAATGGAGCGAAAATTGTGAAATGGAATAACTGCAGCAACAGTACATGATCCTGATTATTTTATTGTGTCTAACTTAAATCAAGCATGTGTAATATGCGAAAATATTGAAATGCTGCAAACTTTTATGGTGGAGGATAAGTAAGCTTAAAAGTGTGCTCACTGAGGTTTACGTCAAAACGACAGTTTCCAGTATAATGTGGACTCAGAAAGTTGTGTTGTCAATGATCAGCAGTTGTTACCATTGGTGAGGACATAAACTGCATTTATAATCTAAGATACATCTCCCAATTTTCATCTGCATCTCAGTGTGTCAAAAAGCAGCTAGCTGAATCAGAAATATACTCCACATAATTCTCCCAATTTTTTATCTACATATTTTGTCAACAAATTTTAGCTTTTAGCAGCATATTTTTAAGTATGTGCTCAGCTTGCTCCCTTTAGGAGTCCGCATATACATTTAATTTTACACAACTTCATTTGGCTCTGAACGTACAGTGGTCTTTGTTCTTGATCTTTCTTTCAGTTTATCAAGCCACCCCCAAAGGTACCTTGGAAGGCATTAGTGTTGGCCTTTTTCTTATTCACCATAGGAACGCTTTTACTTGTTTTTGGATCCTTGCTCTTTACAGGCTATTTTGATGTCAAGGTAAGGAGTTTTTAAAGTTTGTTAAATATTTTTGATATTTCTGTGGTATGAAGGTTTCTGCTTAATGATGACCCCCAATGATCACGTCAGAATTTTTTAATCCATAAATAAGTTTAAAATGGTCAAAGAGCCATGGCACACAGATTGAGATTCAGATTAGTCCAAGGATTTACTCACTGGGACTATAGTAAAATGTATCTTGAGGTTTTTAAAATTGTATTAACATTTCAATCTTCATCTTCTTCTTTCAACAGTACGCTGATCGTACTTATCCACTGTTGATTCTGGGTTCCCTTATGTTCATCCCTGGTTTCTATCATGTCAGAATAGCATATTATGCTTGGAAAGGTTACAGAGGATATTCGTTTGAAGATATCCCTGACTTTGATTGACTGCATGGTAATATATATGTTTCAATACTGCTTCAAGTGTAAAGTACAGCTCAGATCAGATCAGCTCCTGTGGCATCAGCAACACTCAAGAATGCAAGAAATCAAATACATGGTTTGGATAACAGAGGAGAAAGAAAACAACGTGCCTCTTGCTACCACTGCCAGAAATTCTGGAGCAAACAAATTTCACACCAGATAGCTCGAAAAGACCACTATAGTGATAAGAGCATGTCTCCAATTTGGAGATTGTTGTATTTTGTTAGTCAATATAATTTGGATTATGGCTGATGGCAATAGCTGGGCAACTGGTTATTGATAAAGTAACAAAACAGTGTTTCTGTACATGAGTAAGTGTAAGAACAACAACAGATTACTTTGCAAGCTCAAGACTTCAATCAGTTGATAGCAAACACCTGTAAAAGGAAGGAAGATTTATGAGACAGTGTAGAAAGTGCACAAATATACAGAAGATGAACTGGTTGTTTTAAAATGAGCATCATTTATGCAACTACATGTATTTTGCTGTCAGTCCAGCTTAATGAAACCTTGTGAAGCCAACATAATAAAGGTACAGGTTGAGGTTGGACATGATAGTATGCTTTAAGAATAAGCAAGGCCCAGATGTTTGTTATTAGCTCATGTCAGAAAAAACTAACATCATGGTGCTTTCCAAGTAAGACCAGAAGCCAGTAGTGCTTTGTGTCTGTACACAGCTCATCATTTATGTGTTAGTGTTGTGCTTGATAATATTTTATTTTTGTTTTATCATGGGACAGTGTTGAGGGAGAAAAGACTTGGTACAGTACCATATCAAAAATCATACCCCTATGCACAAAACATATTTCCTTACATTTTTTTAGTAAAGAAGTGTTTTTGTATGTAATTTTTATCCCCCTCAACTCTGTCCAAAAGGTGAAACAAAGTAAGTGAATCATGGAGGGGGGGGNGGTTTAGTGGATTAGAGAGAATACTGGAATCAAGTGGGGGGGAGGGGCACTGGGAGGTTAAGAGCCATAATCATTTAAGGAATTGGAGAGAATTTGAGATCAAAGGGGCAAATGAAGCCTAGTCAGAGTTCCAAAATGGAGGTTGGAAATTACAGGGGTTATTGGATTAAATGAGTCAAGTCACTGGATTTTACAGAAGGGTATTGGAGTCATAGAGAGGTTGGAAATAACAAGGGTGTTAGAGTCAGGATATGGGTTGAGAATATCAAGGGGGTATTGGATTTAGGGGGAGATTGGGAATTACAAGGAGGTATTAGCTAGATGGAGGTTAGAATAACAGAAAAAGAATAGAGTGAGAGTAGAAAACTGGAGCTAGGGTTAGGATCAAGAGTATCAGCTGGTATTGGATTTAGAGGGTTATTGTGAGTTACAGTGCCTATTTTAGTTAAAGGCAGGTTGGTAATAACAGGGGTATTGGATTTAGGGAAGGTTGAAAATTCAGGAGAGAAACAGAGTCAGAATTACTCAGGGTCTTGGATTTACGGAGAGATTGGGAATTGTGAGGGGTAGGGGGGGATGGGAGGGGGGTTTAGAGTCAGTGAAGTTGGCAATTACTGGGTTATAGGGTTTAAGAGGGGATTGGGATTAAGCACTCATTCAAGAAGAGGACTGAGATTGGAAAGCTGGAGTCATAGGGAGGTTAGGAATCACAGAGAGTATTGGGAATTACAGGAGAGCATGGGAGCCAGAGGGAGGGAATCACAAGGGCTATTGGATTTAGGGCAAGGTAGGGATTTACAGGGGATCTAGCATTTAGAGGGGGATGGATATCACAGGAGAGTGCTAGAGGGAGGCTGGCAATCACAGGAAGTGAGAGATTTAGGGCGAGTTTGGCAATTAATGGGGAGCATTGCCACCAGAAGTAGGGAATCATAAGGGCTATATTGGATATAGGGCAAAGTAGGGAATTACAGGGGAGATAGAATTTAGAGGATTGAGAATTACAGGAGAACGCTAGAGGCGGGGCAGGTTGACAATCACAGAAAGTATTAGGTTTAGGGGGAGTTGGCAATAACTGGGGAGCATTAGAGCCAGAAGTAGGGAATCACAAGGGCTATATTTGATTTAGGGCGAAGTAGGGAATTACAGGGGAGATAGAATTTAAGGGATTGAGAATTACAGGAGAGTGCCAGAGGGAGGTTGGCAATCCAGGAAGTATTAGAGTTAGGGCGAGTTTTGCAATTACTGGAGAGAATTTGGAGGCAGAGGGAGAGAATCACAAGAGTTACATTGGATTTAGGGTGAAGTAGGGAATTATAAGGGATCTAGAATTTGGGAGAAGATTGGCAATACAGTGAATTCGATAGCGTTGATCCTAGCAGTATGCAGGACACCTGTCATATATGAACTCAGTTAAATGACCTGGCTCTCCATGAGTTCTCATAGCTCAGTGGATAGAGCACCCACCCGGTGTTCAGGAGGTCATGGGTTCCATTCCTGTCGGGGACACAGAATTTTTTCTTTGTCCCACGCTCGTGTCATGTTGATTAATTCACCTTCACATTTCATTACCGAGCTTAAAATTCACCATCTTTATTAACTTATCACTACTCACGATGACTTCGATAGTGTTGATCCTAGCA